TGCAGTTGGTGCTGGCTCTCAGTAGGGGCACTTGGTTCTCCAGTAGCCTCTCATCCTCAGTAAGCTAGACTGGCTGCCTCTGTGTCAGTCTCAGGGCAGGATTCCCAGCAGACCAAGGCAGAAGCTTAATGTCTAGTTTGGAAGTCACACAGCTACACTTCTACCACATTCTTTTGGTCAAAGCAGGAGATGAGACGAGCATAGATTCAAGGGGTGGGGAATAGAATCCTCTTCTTGATAGGATGAGCTGCAAAATGAGAGTGCCCAGGTTTTTCAATCTACAACAGTGCAAAACGTCTAGACCGAGTGCCTTCAAGTGAAGAGGTTCATTAAAACCTAAGCAAAATGTGACTTTACTTTTCATTCAGGTAAGTAAGAATGTCAGTTGACTAAACATCTTCACTCCTGGTCACTGTAATAAAATCGCTGTAACACTAACAAGTCAAGAGGATAGAAAGTTAAGGAAACTACTAAAAATTGTCATAGGCCCAGAAAATGTTTGCAAGAGGAAGTAGAGGTACTAAGTCTGATTTCTGTAGGCAAACTGACCTGACAAGTGTAGTTTCCAAACCTCAGAGAGTTATGCCAATTTGATTCCGAGCCTCTTTAGCTAATAATAGAATGGAGAACACCCAGCCAAAGGTTTTATTACTTAAAGGGAATTTACAAATTAACTCGTTTAAGTAACCGTTGGTTGGCCAACATTCGCTGGCAAGAGTTTGCATTTTTACCTTCTACCTTGCATAACTGATGAAAGTAAAATGAGATAATTAATGTAATGTGCCTAGTGTAATAACTTGCTTACCTTTGCCTCTAAAATAAAATGATTGCTACTATCATTTTATTCAAGGCTTTACCAAGAACTTGCATTGTTTAATGATAGATGACATTCTATTAGTATTTATTAATATATTTTTATGGTCAAATTGGATGCTTGATAAACTTGCCTTAAAAATTTTCCAAGCTAAAATTATCATTGCCATATTCTATGGGGTAAATATTTAGAACCTCTGTTTTCTATTTGTACATATGTTGGAAACTTACCTAACACTATTGCAACAGTCAGCTATTGCTGTGTAACCACAAAAAAATACCCGTGGCATTTAACAAAAGCATTTCTTTTGCTCATGGATCTGTGAAGTAGCTGGGGCAGTTCTGCCTCTGCCTGCAGCCCCTGGCTCTGCCTCGTGCTACAAGTCTACCCATAGGCTGGAATAGTTCTTCTCAATGCATTTTTATTCTGAGGCCCAGACTAAAAGGGCAGCTGCTACCTAAAGTAAAGTTCATCTCATGGTGATAGTATATGTACAAGAGGACAAGCAAAAATATGCAGGATCTCTTAAGGTCTAGGTTCAGAATTGGCATCCTGTCACTTTTGCCCAAGCCAGTGGAATAGCTAACTTCACCTTTAGTAGGAGGAACTACTGAGTCACAGGGCAAGCTCCAAGTTACAATACGGGATGAAGAGTCGAAGCCAATAATAGAATCTACCACAGTAATGACTATAGAATCTTGGCATGTTGGCAGATACTCCCTAACCTTACTTCCATAAAGAGGCATGTATCCAGGTTAGGCATCTCATACTTTCTCAATAGGGTAAAAATCCCGTCGTTGGCTGACTGTTGAAGCTTATGATTCTTTCCTCAAATAAGAACATGGGATGTCTGCCTGTTAGTTACCTAACAGAGTATACCTGTGAATTCTGTGCTGCCTCATAACTATAAAATCCCAGTTTGGAAAATCATATTTGCAGAGGATTTCTTAATGGATTATCCATCCCTCAAAATAGGCTAAATTTCATACCTTGAACAAGACAGGTTACAAAAAAGCTTCTGTGTACAGCATAGCATGTTGGCCTCTTGTAAAATTGCTTTTACTTAACTAAGCTTGGATATTAATCTCTCTGCCTACATTGCAGAAAGTTATAAAGAAATAGCTTATAGACCTAATTATTAGTTAAGGTTGACATTGGTGTGATCTACACATTCCATTTTTCGAATAACCATAGAAGAATTTTCTCTTGGCTCACAGAAACAAGAATTTTCCATACACCTGCTGACAAATTGGCTTATTTTTATCTTATAGTCACTGTGATGTAGCTGATCATCTTTCCATTTTTATATTGGCCAGTAGGAAGCTCTGATGCAGATTTACAAGCCATCTCTGCTGGAGCACAGAGCCTTATGCATAGTATAGCCATTGTGTGTCATGCTTTAATACATATTAAATCCTTAGAAGTGCTTGGCACATAGAAAGTGCTAAATGTGTCTACCATTTTTAACATTATTTTATTATTATTATGGATAATAATGGGATAAGTTGGGTAGAATGGGATCCTAATATCTGATCTCCTATTTCATTTTGGAATTAAAAGTGCTGAATTCGTCTGTTGCTTTTCAAGACTTTTGTAATCAAATTACCTAATAGGTAAGCAGGCCAAATATCAGATGGGGAAATTTTCTTCTCTCTCTGCTTAACTAATATTTTACCGATTAAGTTTAAGTTTGTACTGTTTGGACCAAAATAAATTTCCACTTCTTGCCAAGAACACTTATAATGAAATAAGCAAAAACTTCAGCAAAGACCAAAATAAATATTATTAAACAGTGGCCAAGAGACTGAACCTCTCTCTAATCATTTGTGGGATGAGGATTGGTGAGGGTAAGAAGTCCAATAAGGAACTCTCTTCTTCACAACAGCTAGTTTTTGACCTAAGCTGGGCCGCCAAAATTTTACTTTGCTCCCTTGTTCTGTGGACTGGGTGGAAGTAATGGGCCAAATCAGTTAGGATTGATAATCTCACTAGCAAAGACACCATTCCCCCAGGATCTCCTGCGGGGAGAACAGACCAGAGTACAGCTTTTGGTCAAAGAAAAGAAGCTGAATTTTTAAAAATTTAAAGAAAAGAATAGAATGTAATATGCAAAAAATATATGAAAAATCTATACTAGAAGAAGACGTCCACGATAAAATTCTCAGGTAATAAACTGGAAAGATTTTACACCCTAAACTAAATTATAGAGTATATCTACAGTGAGGAATCTGCAAATATTTTATATCCCAATGAAGAGGGTATAGGGAAAAAGCAGTTAAATTAAATTAGATATTAAAATGTAGGCTAATTTAGTTATCTATATTAAATTGTAGACAAATTAGTTTAAATGTAGATAGTTGGTTTTTTAAAGACAAAAATAATACCATGCAAGTTTTGTGGGAAGCAATTTGACAATATCTATAAAAATAACAAATGCCAGTAGGAGGACTTTATTCTGTGTGACATGTGTGTGTAAAATATGTGTAGAATCATATGTGTATAAAATGATGTATATATGAGATTATTTATTGCAACATTGTTTGTGCTAGTAAACTATTGGCAATGACACGAATTCCCGTTTGTTGGAGACCAGCCTAATAAATATGACAATTCATACACTGCAATATGCAGCCATTAACCAAAATGAGGCAGATATTTGTATAATAATAATCCAAGCTCTCCAAGATGTATTGTAAGGAAGGTATGGGAAAAGGGCTATAGAATTACTGTTCATGTAATAATACTTATTTACATTTACTTGTTTTCATATACACATCTCTGGAAGGATCCACAAGAAAATGACAAAAGTGCTAGCTCCTAGGAAGGACCTGGGTATCAAGTGCAAGGGAGTTTTTCACTGTATACCTCTGAGTTCCTTTTGAAGTTGATGTCATATGCATTTAAATTCATTAAAAAAGATATTAAAGAAATAATGAATTCATCTGAAACAACAAGCAGCAAAATTGATCAGGCGCAGTCAATCTGTGATATGGAGGACAAGCTTGAGAAAATCATGCAGAATGCTGAGAAAAGTGTCAGAGAAACGGTCCAAAGAGGTATGGAAGACACATCACAGAGGTTCAACCTATAAATAATCAGTATCACTAAAGTATGTGTATTATGACCCTAATTTTGTAAAGATAAAGCTATATATACAGATAAATTACCTTATATTTGTATGTGTAAATATCTACTTATATGTAATTGTATCATCATCAACAAAAAAACAGCACTTACCATGTACCAGGCACTGTTCCAAGTGCTCTATAAGTACTACTGTTAATCTTCCCAACAACTCTGGGAGGTAAGTAGTTACCCCACCATACAGATGGGATTCCAAGGCACTGAGAGTTCAGCTTCTTGCCCCACAGTCACACAGTAAGTGACAGAGCTAAGATCTGCACCCAAGCAGTTTGATTCCCAAACCTGCCTTCTCAACTGCCAGGTCATAGTGCCTCCCTGTTGTGTAAAGAAAAATGTTTCAGAGATTAAGCAACAGTCAATTAATATCTGGAGAATGAAACTGTTGGGAATTTTTTTTCTATATTAACATGTTTATATCATTTAAATTTTTATAATAAAGTACTACTTCTGTAATTTAGAAAAAAAGTAGCTATAAATTGAAGAGGGAGTATAAACCACTAAGCAACATGAGACTACTCTCCCTAACTCACTCTTATTACCAGAAGTTTTGTAAGAAACCATGTTTTTGGAAGAAATCTACAGAACTCATGACACACTTCCTACAAGTCCAGTTTTTAGGGTTCTCCCTGATGCTCATTGATCTGTTAGCCAGTAAAGTTCTCTGATTGCAGGTAAATAATATCTACTTTGCTCCATGTGGCACTCTCTTAAAACAGAGTATGCCAGGATTCCTTGTCCCTCCAACTTACGGTTGTCCACCTAAATCACTGAGTTCTGGCTCCTACATAGATGTATATAGTTGGACCTTGCTGCTGCTCTTCTAATCACCGTGTCAGCTTCAAAACTCTAGCCTGGATAGTATGGTCCTCTCTGTAAGGATTACTGTTTTATGTCTTTCTCATTTCAGTTAGACAATACTGGAGAGAGGAACCAACATGGCAGAGTAGAAGGATTTGCTCTCACTCCCTCTTGCGAGAACACCAGAATCACAACTACCTGCTGGACAGTCATCGACAGGAAGATGCTGGAATTCACCAAAAAAGATACCCCACATCCAAAGACAAAGGAGAAGCCACAATGAGACGGTAGGAGGGGCGCAATCACAGCAAAATCAAATCCCATAACTGCTGGGTGGATGACTCACAAACTGGAGAACACATACCACAGAAGTCCAACCACTGGAGTGAAGGTTCTGAGCCCTACGTCAGGCTTCCCAACCTGGGGTTCCAGCAACGGGAGGAGGAATTCCTAGAGAATCAGACTTTGAAGCCTAGTGGGAATTGATTGCAAGACTTCGACAGGACTGGGGGAAACAGAGACTCCACTCTTGGAGGGCACACACAAAGTAGTGTGCACATCGGGAGCCAGGGGAAGGAGGAGTGACCCCAGGGGAGACTGAACCAGACCTACCTGCTACCGTTGGAGGGTCTCCTGCAGAGGCGGGGGGTGGCTGTGGCTCACCGTGGGGACAAGGACACTGGCAGCAGAAGTTCTGGGAAGTACTCCATGGTGTGAGCCCTCCCAGAGACTGTCATTAGCTCCACCAAAGAGCCCAGGTAGGCTCCAGTGTTTGGTTGCCTCAGGCCAAACAACCAACAGCCCCACCCATCAACATTCAAGTGGATTAAAGTTTTACTGAGCTCTGCGCACCAGAGCAACACTCAGCTCTACCCACCACCACTCCCTCCCATCAGGAAACTTACACAAGCCTCATAGATAGACTCATCCACCAGAGGGCAGACAGCAGAAGCAAGAAGAACTGCAGCCTGTGGAATAAAAACCACATTCACAGAAAGACAAGATGAAAAGGCAGAGGGCTATGTACCAGATGAAGGAACAAGAGAAAACCCCACAAAAACAAATAAATGAAGTGGAGATAGGCAAGCTTCCAGAAAAAGAATTCAGAATAATGATAGTGAAGATGATCAAGGAACTCGGAAAAAGAATGGAGGCAAAGATAGAGAAGATGCAAGAAATGTTTAACAAAGACCTAGAAGAATTAAAGAACAAATAAACAGAGATGAACAATACAATAACTGAAATGAAAACTACACTAGAAGGAATCAATAGCAGAATAACTGAGGCAGAAGGACGGATAAGTGACCTGGAAGACAGAATGGTGGAATTCACTGCTGCGGAACAGAATAAAGAAAAAAGAATGAAAAGAAATGAAGACAGCCTAAGAGACCACTGGGACAACATTAAACGCAACAACATTCGCATTATAGGGGTCCCAGAAGGAGGAGAGAGAGAGAGGAGCCGAGAAAATATTTGAAGAGATTATAGTTGAAAACTTCCCTAACATGGGAAAGGAAATAGCCACCCAAGACCAGGAAGCGCAGCGAGTCCCATACAGGATAAACCCAAGGAGAAACACGCAGAAACACATAGTAATCAAATAGGCAAAAATTAAAGACAAAGAAAAATTATTAAAAGCAGCAAGGAAAAAATGACAAATAACATACAAGGGAGCTCCCATAAGGTTAACAGCTGATTTCTCAGCAGAAACTCTACAAGCCAGAAGGGGGTGGCATTATATGCTTAAAGTGATGAAACGGAAAAACCTACGACCAAGATTACTCTACCTGGCAAGGATCTCATTCAGTTTCAATGGAGAAATCAAAAGCTTTACAGACAAGCAAAAGCTAAGAGAATTCAGCACCACCAAACCAGCTCTACAACAAATGCTAAAGGAACTTCTCTAAGTGGGAAACACAAGAGAAGAAGAGGAACTACAAAAACAAACCCAAACAATTACAAAAATGGTAGGAACATACATATCAATAATTACCTTAAATGTGAATGGATTAAATGCTCCAACCAAAAGACACAGGCTCGCTGAATGGTTACAAAAACAAGACCCATATATATGCTGTCTACAAGAGACCCACTTCAGACCTAGGGACACATACAGACTGAAAGTGAGGGGATGGAAAAAGATATTCCATGCAAATGAAAATCAAAAGAAAGCTGGAGGAGCAATAATCGTATCAGATAAAATAGACTTTAAAATAAAGAATGTTACAAGAGACAAGGAAGGCACTACATAGTGATCAAGGGATCAATCCAAGAAGAAGATATAACAATTATAAATATATATGAACCAAACCTAGGAGCACCTCAATACATAAGGCAACTGTTGACAGCTATAAAAGAGGAAATCGACAGTAACACAAAAATAGTGGGAGATTTTAACACCTCACTTACACCAATGGACAGATCATCCAAAATGAAAATAAATAAGGAAACAGAAGCTTTATATGACACAATAGACCAGATAGATTTAATTCATATTTATAGGACATTCCATCCAAAAACAGCAGATTACACTTTCTTCTCAAGTGCGCATGGAACATTCTCCAGGATAGATCACATCTTGGGTCACAAATCAAGCCTCAGTAAATTTAAGAAAATTGAAATCATATCAAGCATCTTTTCTGACCACAACACTATGAGATTAGAAACGAATTACAGGGAAAAAAACATAAAAAACACAAACACATGGAGGCTAAACAATACGTTACTAAATAACCAAGAGATCACTGAAGAAATCAAAGAGGAAATAAAAAAACCCAAAGACAAATGACAATGAAAACACAATGATCCAAAACCTATGGGACGCAGCAAAAGCAGTTCTAAGAGGGAAGTTTATAGCAATACAAGCCTACCTCAAGAAACAAGAAATATCTCAAATGAACAATCTAACATTACACCTAAAGGAACTAGAGAAAGAAGAACAAACAGAACCCAGAGTTAGTAGAAGGAAAGAAATCATAAAGATCAGAGCAGAAATAAATGAAATAGAAACGAAAACAATAGCGAAGATCAATAAAACTAAAAGCTGGTTCTTTGAGAAGATAAACAAAATTGATAAACCATTAGCCAGACTCACCAAGAAAAAGAGGGTGAGGACTCAAATCAATAAAATTAGAAATGAAAAAGGAGAAGTTACAGCAGACACCGCAGAAATAAAAAGCATCCTAAGAGACTACTACAAGCAACACTATGCCAATAACATGGACAACCTGGAAAAAATGGACAAATCCTTAGAAAGGTATAACCTTCCAAGACTGAACCAGGAGGAAATAGAAAATATGAACAGACCAATCACAAGTAATGAAATTGAAACTGTGATTAAAAATCTTCCAACAAACAAAAGTCCAGGTCCAGATGGCTTCACAGGTGAATTCTATCAAACTTTTAGAGAAGAGCTAACACTCATCCTTCTCAAACTCTCCCAAAAAATTGCAGAGGAAGGAGCACTCCCAAACTCATTCTATGAGCCCACCATCACCCTGATACCAAAACCAGAGAAAGATACTACAAAAAAAGAAAATTACAGACCAATATCACTGATGAATATAGATGCAAAAATCCGCAACAAAATACTGGCAAACAGAATCCAACAACACATTAAAAGGATCATACACCATGATCAAGTGGAATTTATCCCAGGGATGCAATGGTTCTTCAATATACGCAAATCAATCAATGTGATATGCCATATTAACAAATTGAAGAATGAAAACCATATGTTCATCTCAATAGATGCAGAAAAAGCTTTTGACAAAATTCAACACCCATTTATGATAAAAGCTCTCCAGAAAGTGGGCATAGAAGGAACGTACCTCAACATAATAAAGGCCATATACAACAAACCCACAGCAAACATCATTCTCAATGGTGAAAAACTGAAAGCATTTCCTCTAAGATCAAGAATGAGACAAGGATGTCCACTCTCGCCACTATTATTCAACATAGTTTTGGAAGTCCTAGCCACAGCAATCAGAGAAGAAAAAGAAATAAGAAGAATACAAATTGGAAAAGAAGTAAAATGTTACTGTTTGCAGATGACATGATACTATACATAGAGAATCCTAAAAATGCCACCAGAGGGGCTTCCCTGGTGGCACAGTGGTTGGGAGTCCACCTGCCAATGCAGGGGACACGGGATCGTGCCCCGTTCCGGAAGGCTCCCGCGTGCCATGGAGCGGCTGGGCCTGTGGGCTGTGGCCGCTGAGCCTGCGCGTCTGGAGCCTGTACTCTGCAACAGGAGAGGCCACAGCAGTCAGAGGCCCAAGTAACACACACACACAAAAAAAAATGCCACCAGAAAACTACTAGAGCTAATCAATGAATTTGGTAAAGTTGCAGGATACAAAATTAATGCACAGAAATCTTTTGCATTCCTATACACTAATGATGAAAAATCTGAAAGAGAAATTAAGGAAACACTCCCATTTACCATTGCAACAAAAAGAATAAAATACCTAGGAATAAACCTACCTAGGGAGACAAAAGACCTGTATGCAGAAAACTATGACACTGATTAAAGAAATTAAAGATGATACCAACAGATGGAGAGATATACCATGTTCTTGGATTGGAAGAATCAATATTGTGAAAATGGCTATACTACCCAAAGCAATCTACAGATTCAATGCAATCCCTATCAAATTACCAATGGCATTTTTTATGGAACTAGAACAAATAATCTTAAAATTTGTATGGAGACACAAAAGACCCCGAATAGCCAAAGCAGTCTTGAGGGAAAAAAACGGAGCAGGAGGAATCAGACTGCCTGACTTCAGACTGTACTACAAAGCTACAATAATCAAGACAATATGGTACTGGCACAAAAACAGAAACATAGATCAATGGAACAAGACAGAAAGCCCAGAGATAAACCCACACACCTGTGGTCAACTAATCTATGACAAAGGAGGCAAAGATATACAATGCAGAAAAGACAGCCTCTTCAATAAATGGTGCTGGGAAAGCTGGACAGCTACAGGTAGAAGAATGAAATTAGGACACTCCCTAACACTGTACACAAAAATAAACTCAAAATGGATTCGAGACCTAAATGTAAGACTGGACACTATAAAACTCTTAGAGGAAAACATAGGAAGGACACTCTTTGACATAAATCCCAGCAAGATCTTTTTTGACCCACCTCCTAGAGTAATGGAAATAAAAACAAAAATAAGCAAATGGGACCTAATGAAACTTCAAAGCTTTTGCACAGCAAAGAAAACCATAAACAAGACGAAAAGACAACCCTCAGAATGGGAGAAAATATTTGCAAACGAATCAATGGACAAAGGATTAATCTCCAAAATATATAAACAGCTCATGCAGCTCCATATTAAAGAAACAAACAACCCAATCCAAAAATGGGCAGAAGACCTAAATAGACATTTCTCCAAAGAAGACATACAGATGGCCAAGAAGTACATGAAAAGCTGCTCAACATCACTAATTATTAGAGAAATGCAAATCAAAACTACAATGAGGTGTCACCTCACACCAGTTAGAATGGGCATCATCAGGAAATCTACAAACAACAAATGCTGGAGAGGGTGTGGAGAAAAGGGAACCCTCTTGCACTGTTGGTGGGAATGTAAGTTGATACAGCCACTATGGAGAACAGTATGGAGATTCCTTAAAAATCTAAAAATAGAATTACCATATGATCCAGCAATCGCACTACTGGGCATATACCCTGAGAAAACCATAATTCAAAGAGACACATGCACCCCAATGTTCATTGTAGCATTATTTACAATAGCCAGGACATGGAAGCAACCTAAGTATCCAACGACAGATGAATCGATAAGGAAGATGTGGTACATATATACAATAGAATATTACTCAGCCACAAAAAGGAACGAAATTGAGTCATTTGTTGAGATGTGGATGGATCTAGAGACTGTCATACAGAGTGAAGTAAGTCAGAAAGAGA